TTTTTTTTTTTTTTCTTTTGGGCTGGCTCAAAATGCCTTAAGGGCAGATCTGATAAGGCGTGAAGATCTGGGGATCAAAGCACAGTATCCTGAGGCTGACTATCTTCACTTAAGCAGGCCTGACTTCATATTTTATGTTCACAGAGATTATTCCACTTTTTTTTGCGGTACCGGGAATTGAACTCAGGACCTTGTGCTTGCCAGGCAAGCCCTTATTCTACTGAGCTTATTCTATAGCCCGATTATTCCACTTCTAATCCAGCACAAAGTTTTAGTTCTTTTCCGAGTGTTTGAGTTGGAAATTTATTTCTATTATTTCATTTTTATTGACATCCTTAAGGTTAAATTTGCCTATAATCATTGCTTTAGTTTGTTCCAGTGATCTAATAGTTTTCTTATTGTTACCTATTAATAGAGTTAAATATTTCCAGGTAAAAGGCATTTTCGGGTTTTAATTTTATTTCTAGTTTTAATCCATTAAGATCAGAGAATGTTGTTTTATTTCCTTTTAGAATATTTTTTATCTGCTAACGGGATTTTAAGATTTAATTAAGATACTCAGATATAATAATGCTTTATGCTTAATATATTTCTGCCTTTATTATCTACTCTGCTAAAATAGTGGTAAAGAGTGTATAGTAGTGTGTTTATTATTTGACTGACTATAGAGACTGGCTAGTATAATCTAGTCTGTAAGGGTTTAGAGGCAAATTTTGGAAAATCTTTTTTTTTTTAATTAGGATTTTATGGATTTGTTATGTGGCTATAACATGTATAAAATAATCTTTGTCTTATTATGGTTTATGTTTATTATTATACAACTAAAATTTTAATTATTTAATTTGTCTGCATTCGGAGATTATGATTCATCTGAATTCAAGATTTAACAGTGATATTTATTAGGATGCTCTCACTTTTCAGGGATAGAAGGCCAGATGACAGTAGCTTAAACATTAGTGATAAATTATTTACACAAGAACACATTTTCACCATAAGAATTTTAGCTGGGTGTGGTGGTCCATGCCTGTAGTCTCAAGGTTGGGAGGCTGAGTCAGGAGGATTGCTGTGTGGAAAATAGCCTGAACTGTATAGTGAGGTCCTGTCTCAAAATCAGTTTTCTTAGAGGGAGATAGATCTAGGATTGCTGTTGCATGTCCGTATTGTCCTGAAGGACCCAGGCTCTTCTCTCGTCTTTCTGCTTCTTTTTGAGGAAGGTATTGGAGAGTAAACCCAAGGACTTCATTTTTAACTATATCTCCAATACTTTTTTTTTTTTAAATTGGAGTAAAGGTTTTACTGAGTTAGTCATTTGCCCGGGCTGGGCTCAGCCTTGCAGTCTCCATTTTAAGTGTGGACTACCATGCTTAATGGCCTTGCGTTCTTTAGTGTGTGGCTAAGTTCTCTCCTAATTGTACCATGGCTACTACAGAGCGCATGCTGAGTTTTCTAGCAGGAAGAAGGGAGTTGGGGCAAAAGGACTTAGTCTTTGAGAGGCTTTCCTTTTTATTAGAAGATTAAAAAAAAAAGTCCCAAAGTCTTCCAATAAACTTAATGGATCACTGGCTAAAAGCGGATCACATTCCCAGTCTAGCTAAGTCATCACCTATAAAGAGAAACAAGACCAGTATTATTATTTTGGGGCAGTTATGATTCATCATTTAACATGGGTGTATTACCCTCTAATTAAAGATAGGTATCTGCTAGCAGGTTAGAAGTGGGAATTTCTGTTGCCTAATAATCAGTAGTGTTTGTCTCTAGCCAGAGCCAAATTCATAACTATACTTTTAAGATACGTGTTTTGTAGAAAAGAGTCTTTAGTATTGCATGGTGCTTTGGTAACTTTTCAACTATTATTAGTGAGATGTAGTGAGATTTTCTCTCCCCTCTCATTCTTACCTCCGTGTGTGTGTGTGTGTGTGTGTGTGTGTGCATGTGCGCGTGCATGTAGGTAGTTTAGGCTGGCCATGAGGTCACTGTGTATTCCAGGCTGATCTGGGACTCACAACAGTCCTCCTGCTTCTGCCTCCTAGTGCTGGGATTACAGGTGTGTACCTTCATTTTGAAGAAGATCTTGAAGCATTTTAGGGGTAATGAAATAATACACGAGCTATGTATGTTAACACATGTCGCTATGCCAGTTATCCGGGAGACGGAAGTGGTGAGATTACTTAGACACAAGTGTTTGAGACCAGTGTGGGCAGCATAGCAAGACCTCATTTCTTAAAGAAAATTATTAAATGAGTCAAGATAATTATGCTAAAGTGGATTTTGTTTGTTATATTTTAGTCAGAATCTGGAGAAATGAACAAAAACACAGAATTGAAGAAACTCCAGATCTTTGGGGCTGGACCCAAGGTTGTGGGCCTGACAGTTGGAACAAAAGATAAAGAAGGTAAAATCTGTTATGCTCATGAGGAGAAATGAAGTGTAATAATATAGTTGTAAAATGATTAAGTGATACTTGAATTTCAGTCTGAGCTGGGAATTTCTTGAGAATTGTAAACTTGCAGAATGGTTTTTATGCCAGTTGTCTTTAGATGGCAGATATCTTAAGGTATGAGGAGCAATATTATATTATATTTTTATGATTTAGAAGAGAGAATTTTCCTTCTCCATGTCTGATATACAACACAGAAATTGATTGCAGTTTCTAAAGGCTGGGTTAATTTCACCAGGAATGGTGAAATTACTGGTGTTCCTTTAATGATTGAATGCTTAATACCTTTAAATTAAAAGGTAAATAGAAGATTCTTTAACCTATAGTATGAAAATGTATCGGAAAGATCTTAGAAGATGTAAATTCTAACTACAATATTTAAAAAAAATTGCCCTTGATATTTTATTATGTCATTTATTTTTTACTTTTTGAGACAGTCTTGCTATGTAGTTCAGGTGGCCTTGAACTTACTGTGTAGCTGAGGTTGGCATTGAGTTTGTGGCCCTCCCCCGCCTCAGCCTCCCAGTGATAGGATTCCAGGAGTGCACCACTATGCCTGCCATTATAATACTCTTAAATTATTTTCCAGTGAGCCTAGTTCTCTTCAGTTTATGTTGGAAATTTTTGTGAGATTGCTAATGCAAAAATCAGATTTTATTCTATGTAACAGATCATTTTAAAAGTTATTTTAGGGTGGGGTGTAGCTCTGTGGCAGAATACCTGCTTGCCTAGCATGTATGAGGCCCTGGGTTCCGCCCCTAGTACTAGTGCACAACTAAACAAAACAAGACAACAAAAGACTCACACAAAAACACTCAGTTTAACAAAAGATAAGTTCGGCATGTTTTGACTACACTATAAGAATTTAATGAACTGCTGTAGTCACATATGTTAACTACACATTTTATGATATGCATAGTTTATTTATAATTCAGATGTTACACTGAACTATAGAAGATCAGATAATATTGTTCCATTACTCAGAAAATTCTGTTTAATAGGAGTTACTAAATACATTAAATTACCTTTTTAAAAATTAAGTACCTTGTCATTAATGAAATTTTTGCATTGGCTAGCAGTAATCTTAAAACTTGACTTATTGTTTTGGGTGGCAGTTGTCTTAACAAAATTAATCCCTGCTTAATTTAAGAGTACCTGTAAAGCATACATATAGGCAGTATGTACTACTTATAGACAGCACCAATGGTTAAACTCTGTGACGCTCCATTGCCTGGATTAGAATCCCAAATCTGCCACTGATTGGCTCTGTAATTTTGAGCAAGTTATCCAACTTCTCTATATTTTAGGTTCTTTATCTTCAACCACAGCTAATAATATATCTACCTTATAGTCTTGTGAGATCTTTAACTAATTTAAATAATTTTAAATAGTGTCTGGTCCATAGTAAGCTCTCAACATTAGTTTTTACTATTATTATATAACTTTTTATTTCAAGATGAGGTCACCCGAAGACGAAAAGTTACCAACAGGTCAGACGCATTTAACATGCAAATGAGACAACGGAAAGGAACTCTCTCTGTTAACTTTGTAAGTGCTTTGGGATGTGTTAGGAGGGAAAGGATTTATTTTAATTTTGGTTTGCACAATTTTACCTTGGTATATTCTTGTATGTTGCTTCATCAGCTTATTTGGTTAGAAAACTTGATGGCAAACCTAGTTACAGCTTTGGTTTTTGTAGTGTTAACCTTGCTTTGTTTCATGTTTATAGACTGCCCCCTTAAGTCATACCCTGGGGTGATGAAGTGAGAGATGAGTGTGAATCAGTATACAGTTGGCTCTCTGTGTTCTCAGATTATACATTTGCTGGTTTACCCAAGTGTAGATTGAAATATTTTTCTAAAAAATTATGTCTGTATTGAACAAGTACAGACTTCTATTCTTGTCCTGAGCAGTACAGTATAACATGTGTTTGCATAGCATTTACATTATGCTTGTTATTATAAGTAATCTAGAGATGGCTTAAAACATATTAGAGGTTGTGCATATACTGTTATAACCAAATATTATGCCATTGTATATCCTTACTTGAGAATTTGGACTTTGGTATCCATAGAGCTGGGTGTGGGTGAGGGTGTGGGTGAGGGTAGGGAGAATCTTGGAACCAATCCTGGCAAATACCCAGGGATATTTATAAATTATTATAGGCAGTTATCAGTATTCATTCTTTACCAAAGATACTTATAACTAGAAATAATAGCATTTTAAAAATTATAAAATAGTTTTTATATACCCTACATATATAGTGTTTCTTTAACAATTTGATATGCTTTTATTGGTGGTACAAACCCAAAAGAAATTTAGGAAGTTCTGTTAAAAAGTGTTAAAAGTTTTAAAGTGAATGTTGAGGATTTTAAGTTAACTTATGTGTTAGTGTACATTATTTTGTCTGTTTTAAAGGAATCCTGGTAAATTAACATTCTTTATTATAGAAACTAGACTTTCATTATTTATTTAACAGGTTGATCTCTACGTGTGTATGTTTTGTGGTCGAGGAAACAATGAAGATAAATTGCTTTTGTGTGATGGATGTGATGATAGCTATCATACCTTCTGTCTAATCCCCCCACTACCTGATGTTCCTAAAGGAGACTGGAGGTGTCCTAAGTGTGTCGCTGAGGTATGAGCCTGAACTTTAGGGACCCTTTTTCTAACTACAAAAAGCAGTGCATGCATGTACATATACCTGAATAAGTTCCCCAAAGGTTTGTTGTTCTTTTTTTTTTGGTGGAACCAGGGATTGAACTCAGGCCCTTACGCTTTCCAGGGAAGCGCTTATTCTACTGAGCTATCTCCCTGGCCCACTCTTTTTGTTCTTTAGAGTTGAATTTTCCACAGTTTTAAAAAAAGAGATATATTGAATAGCTACATCTATCAGTAGAAGTTATTGAATAGAATAACCAGTGTTATTATGGCAGCCTGCTTTCAGAGTTGTTTTTTTTTTTTTTTTTTTTCCTCACTGTTGGTGAAGCATTTTATTTATTGCTTCAGTTGAATGAGATTTCAAATCAGTATTCATATTGCTGGAATAAAAATGAA